GCATGGAGGCGCCACGTCGACTCACTCACTCGTCGCCTCAGCCAACACACATGTTGGAACATTTGAACACAGGAACGCCAGTAGAATGCATGAGTCGCGCAGCGGCAGAGCCTACAACTTTGCTGACGATCGTCTCCTCTCTGTCCATTCCCATTCATTGTCCTTAGGGTGACCAGCGAACTTGCACACATCCCACAGCCACCTTAGCTAATGAATGGGGCATGAAATGAGACGATGTGGAACAAATTGATGCAGTAGAATGTTAAGAACACTTTAGAGTTAAATACTTGTAATGTGTGGAAGGGTGAGTCTTTCTACATGCTCCAGTTGCTGGTTTGTCTGTCTGTGTGTCAGAGGTTGGGGAGATCGTTTACAGAAGCGACATTCAGTAAGTCCGCACCCTCACCTCTCTCGTAACGTTAAGACCTGCACTGGCATGGCAGAGGATGCGGAAAGCCAAGTGTTCGTGATAAAGTGAGTTGCGAATTGCATTGGCTACATCTCCACATTGTTAAGTGGTCGTCTAGTGGACAGGATCACTGATTTCGAGTAGATATGTCAGTGTCAGTGTCGGTGTCCCGATTCCACAAGCCACTGTGATGGACCAGGTCAGGTCAGATGAGGTGTAGATTAGGGGGAGAACGTGATAGGAACATTCGTCGTTCCAGTGAGGTAAAGACAACTTGTGGAGCTGTGAGGTGTGACCAGCATGCTTGTGAATGTCAGTGCATTGTTCATTCATGGGATGGAGGTGGAGTCATAGTCGGCAGACCAGATCCTGGCAGCCCCATCATCAGCACCAGCACCAGCACCAGCACCAGCACTGGGAGCAGCGCCAGCAGGAGAAGAGGAAGCAGGTGAACAAGGGGCCAGAAGAAGAAGAAGAAGAAGAAGAAGTAGACGTCTTATTTAGAGGAGAAGTCGGAGTGACGCGAGTGGGGCAAAAAGAGATGAGGAAAGAAGGAAACATTTGACTTGGTGGTGACTCACTGCATTTGGTTGAGGGGCTGGTGGACTGAATAATCCCATTTTTCGTGTTGGTGATTAAACAGAAAAATGGAGAAACTTGTGTGAATACAGAATGGTTGGTGGTGGAGGAGTATCATAAGCAAAAAAGTAAAAGAGGCTTCAAAACTACGAAGACGGACGATTTTGGAAGGTGGAGACATGGGGTTGGAAAGTGAATGTGGTGGATGAGGGAATGGAGATGATGAAGTGAGGGCAAAGTGGAGATGACCATCAGTAGTGGTGCGAAGAGTGTTTAACAAGTTGAAACCAGTCCAGAAACTTGTTGGTGGCTTTCAGAATTTGGTTCATCACTACATCCACCTACCCATCCATTCAATAACTACCCCAAACATTCCTCCACTCCACCGTGTAAGCACGCCTGATATTAGTCGTTTTATTGAGGACGTCAAGAAGACATCCCTCACATCCATTTGGCACTACCCTCTTCTACCTCACCTTCCCTTTCGTCTGCCAAACCATGGCATTGTGCCACATCTTCATCATCAATTTCAATCCAGCCCTCTGTGGTCAAGTAAAGGAGAAGGGAAAGCAAAATACGGATCCACAGCGTCAGGGATAGAGGCGCCAAGGAATCACCATCTCCTCAATGTAGTTT